CATTTAATACCTTAAATCAGTTGCTTTGGTTTAAATCACCAAACTGTTGGTTTGTTTTTAATAAATAAAATTTAATGGTTTTATTAAACACTTGGAGTCACTTATTAATATGGCAAAAGTTATTAATTTCTCCTGAATCCTTCTGTAAATCTGCAGGTGATGATTCAGAGATTTAATCTGGGACACATTCAGATAATCCAGGGTTTCTTTCAAGATTGAGAAACCGATTCAGAGTCTGTTTCCTGGCTCGTACTTCTGTCATGGGTTTAGTGCCAGGTGGGCTCTGGTTTCTGGACTAACTGGTACCGCTCTCCTCAGGTCCAGGAGCTGGTTCTGGACAACTGTCGCTCCGGTGAGGGGAAGATCGAAGGAATCACGGAGGAGTTCTCCAACCTGGAGCTGCTAAGCCTCATCAACGTCGGTCTGACCAGCGTGGCAGACCTCCCCAAACTGCCCAAACTCAAAAGGGTGAGACGAGACCAGTTCTGACCCGTAATCCTACGCAGGTCGGGGTCTCTCAAATGCAAACACTTGATGTTCACGTTGGAAAAAGTCCCCTGATCTCTGAAGCTTTACGATGAATAAATAACGTTTTGTAGCGCTGCTGAAAAACTGAAAGTCCTTTTAGATCCTAGAGCTTAAACTTGTCTGGTGTTTCTGGTCTCTGTCCAGTTGGAGCTGAGTGACAACAGGATATCAGGAGGTCTGGAGGTCCTGGCAGAGCGGCTGGTCAACCTGACACACCTGAACCTGAGCGGCAACAAGTTCAAAGACCTCAGCACGCTGGAGCCGCTGGTAGGTGGAGCTTAGGAGAGCCAAGATCTGATTGGTGTGTTCAGCTAACGGCTAGTTGGAGCAAAGCTAAGGGCTAGTCAGAGGACAGCTAACGGCTAGTCAGAGGAGAGCTAACGGCTAGTCAGAGGACAGCTGACGGCTAGTCAGAGGACAGCTGACGGCTAGTCAGAGGACAGCTGACGGCTAGTCAAGAGGAGAGCTGACGGCTAGACAAGAGGAGAGCTGACGGCTAGTCAAGAGGAGAGCTAACGGCTAGACAAGAGGACAGCTAACGGCTAGTCAGAGGACAGCTAACGGCTAGTCGGAGGACAGCTAAGGGCTAGTCGGAGGACAGCTAAGGGCTAGTCGGAGGACAGCTAAGGGCTAGTCGGAGGACAGCTGACGGCTAGTCGGAGGACAGCTGACGGCTAGTCGGAGGACAGCTGACGGCTAGTC